ATTATTAATATATATAATATTATATATATATATATATACATACATATATATATATATATATATATATATATATATATATCAAAAGCATGTAATAAAATATAAGTCGTAAATTAATAACCAACCTTACTATGTACACAGACTGCATGGTAGTAAGAGTATCTGTGGAGTAGTTTTTCATGGAGGTGCTCTTGTATTACAGGAAGCTTTACGCAAGCTTACTGCAAGCTTTCCTAGTGAATACGAGGTATTCTGCACAGTTTTTATCACTTATAAATGACTTCTTTATCCATTAATCTCAGTACATAATCTCACGAGAAGTTTATCTTCTATCCACCATTACCATGGTTACTGGCATATTAAATTTTGATGTCAGTATTTAAAAGACAACAACATTCAAGCACAGAAGACTAAAATGATTTAATTGATCCTATAAGAAGTTTCAAAAAGTAAAAATATCCTACCAGTTTACCCAGTAGTTTCTATTGTAAACTTGATTAAAATAAAAGATATTACTCTCTCTATAGAGCCGGGGATTTCCACAAGGCTTAGAGACAATACCCGATCTAATCCCATGAAGATATCCTCGAAGAGCTAAATGAACAGGTGGTGTCTACTGGCTAGAATATCATGTTCATGTTCATAATTTTTTTTAGAATGCAATCAATCAATTAATTATTCGCTTAAGCAATCATTAAATCAATCAATCAATTAATCGAGCCAAACCAGTGAAATAAATTTCAAAGAAACTTTAGTCTTTAATTTAACGCTATAATAAGAATAAGAATCTGCTGTGAATTTTTGTTCAGCTGTTATAGTTACACTGGCTGTTTCAGATATCATATCAACTGTCGTAAGTCAATTGATTGTGAACTTTGGAAATAAATTTGGATCTCCTGATTCAACATATGGTTGATATGTAATTGGAGAATTACTTATCTGGTAATATCCAATTGTATTCAAATATTATCCATTCAGATAAGATAATTAAGAAAACTAAAAAATGATAAATAAATTGGGATTTTAAAGAAAGATTTCTATCAGTAAAAATGCCTTTTCAATAAGAATGCTTTTATGTTTACAGTACAGAAATATCAAGAGTAGAAAGGTGGATGTTGAATGTATAGGTATGGCGAGCCGAGTTGTCATTCAATCGTAAATAGAGATATCATAGTTTTTAATAGCGATATCTTAGTTTTAAATAGAGATATCTCAATTAATAGAGATACCTCTATTAAAAACTAAGATAGGCCTATCTCTATTTAAAACTAAGATATCTCTATTTATGATTAAATGACAACTCGTCTCGCCATATATAGGCTTAGCTAGGTCAATGTCACTATCTTCGACACATTTCTAGATGCAGCAGATTTCCTGTACTTTAGACCAATACCTGGATTCGGTCGTACGTGGATCAGAGTTCATCTAGGATAGTGTAGTATCTGACTCAAAGTTCACAAAAGCTGCTACAAATAATTCGCAGCAGGTGTAGTTAACCGACAGTCAACATGGTTTCAATTTCTCCGTTCGTCGTTTCATCAATCAACATTCAAATTACACTCATTGCAATAGTTACGGTGGCGATCATTTACTTATTCACCAAAGATCTTCGCCGTAATTTGCCACCTGGTCCATGGGGTTTACCTGTGGTAGGTATTTTACCGTCCTTGGGTAAGCATCCCCATGAAGTACTAACGAAGTATGCTAATCGGTATGGGGCAGTGTTCTCTGGTAAAATGGGAAACAGGCTGACAATATTTGTGAACGACTATACATCAATGCGAGATATGTTTGCAAAGTCAGGGGACATGTTTGCCGATCGTCCATTTATGATAATCACAGATGCTTTCACTAGTGGCAAAGGTGTGTACAATATTTTGAATATATAATTACAAGGTCTATTTGGTACCGCCTTCTAATACTATTCGTCCTGTCACCATGTGTTTTTATATAAATTTTCGAAATATCAAACTCTACTATATATTATATTTAAAAATGTTAATTGTGCGAATGATGGCCTTTGTGGACAGTGTTAAGTTTTATTATTTTCAAATGAGATTGATAGTATTATTAATGTTTTGAAACCATTTTAATGCATTTTTTGTGTATATTCATGACAGTGATTGCGTGCTCTCCCAAGGGATGTTAATAAATATTGAATTTGAATATATCATTTTATAGAGACCACTGTATTGGCCAACAATAGTATTTTGTTTGTCACACATGATGCAGAAAACCCGAAATATTCATGTGAGAATAATAATTGTGTTCCAAAAGTCTACTCCGCTTCCTGTTTTTTTCCTATTGTTCATACATAGACCCTTCTTTTTATTCTACTGGTGCTTATTAAATCACCACAACGCTTTCATTTCAGTGTTATGACGTTTGCCATGTATGCAAAAAGGGTTTGGATTGAGTTCCGGTGGAGGCTGAGTATTTTCCTTCTTTGTCAGATTCCTTTTCTGTTATTCTAAACTTTTTAAATTTATTTCATACAGGGCGATATTTAAAGATGTGAATAATCGACACCTATAATAATGATGTAATTCTCATTATTTCAAGGGCTAGTATCCGGCTACTTAAAAAACAATCTAAAGGAAAAGCGTCGATTTGCTATGAAAATTATGCGAAGCTTTGGAATGGGAAAGTCAAGTTTTGAAGGTACAATCGTTGATGAAATTGAATACCTAACTAGGGAGTTTATGAAAGCCGCCGAAAAAAACGAATGCTACGATCCAAAACATATGTTAGAAAATGCAGTTTCAAATGTCACGTGTCGGATTGTTTTTGGTAAACGTTACGATTACGAAGATCAAGCATTTAGAAGGTTTCTTACACATTTGTATGCATTTCTAGCGGGTGCATCCCAAGCTGCATCTTTGAATTTCATTCCGCTTTTGAAATTTCTTCCCCGAACTGGATGGACAGAACTATCAGAGGATGTTTCAGTTGTCTTTGACGAGTTTGTAATCCCTGAACTGAAGGAGCATAAAAAGATATTCGATATTGACTACCCACGTGATTTCATTGACGAGATGTTCAAAGAGAAACTGGAACAAGACAAATCTGGAGTGAAAAGTGTAGCATATGACAGGGAATCAAGGAAACAGATTGTTGCCGATCTATTTGCCGCTGGAACCGAGACAACTTCAAGTACATTAAAATGGGCGTTGTTGTACTTAGCTCTCAACCCAAGTATCCAGTTGAAGGTACATCAAGAACTAGATTCAGTAACTTGCAGACGTCATCCTCCATCTTTAAGTGATAAACCAAAGCTTGTGTTTTGTGAGGCCGTGGTGATGGAAACACTGCGTATCCGGCCTGCCGTTCCTTTAGGTTAGTTACAAAAACGATACAAAACAATAATGTTTATAACATGCCAATACCGAATTACTCAAATGTTACTCAAACAATAAATGAAACGGAAATGAAATAATGGTTTGAAAAGAAAAAGGAATTTTGCTGCAAAAAAAAAAATGTTTGTAACATTCTTATACCGAATTACTCAGTCCTACTCAAACAATTAATGAAACGAAATATAATGGTGTAGAAAGAAAAAGAAGGAAATTTAGCTCCAAGAGTAAAAACAATGTTTGCAACATTCTTATACCGAATTACACAATCCTACTTAAACAATAAATGAAACGAAATATAACGGTTTGAAAAGAAAAAGTAAGAAAATATTTTTAACATTCTTATACCGAGTTACATGTTGAAACAATATTCTTTCTTGATAAAGGCATTCCACATGCTGCCTTGGAGGATACTACCTATGAGGGGTACACTATTCCTAAAGGAACACCGATCATCTCGAACCTTTGGGCTGTAATGCATGACCCTAACACTTGGCAGGAACCAGAACGTTTCAATCCTGAACGATTCATTGACGTCACTGGCAATTTGATCAAGAAGAATGAGTTTATTCCTTTCAGCATAGGTAAGGATTAACTTCAGGTTTGTAAAAAAATATATTAGTAACCACGTTGTTACAAAATTAAAAATTCTCTAGAAGTTTATAAAAACAATTAATTATGTTTTAATGTTCTGGCAAGTTACCGGTATAAGTTTTCTTTATATGATATGATTTTATCTTCGTCATCTTCTCTTTATCGTTTATCATTGTCATAAAATACAGTATTTCCAATTTCATGCATACCATTATGTAAAACTGCTGACTGTCATAATCATACAGGATTACGTAACCGTATGATTTTATGACAGTCAGCAGTTATACATATAACATGTACGCCAGAGTCGAGTGTACACGTCAAGTGATTCGAAATAATCCTTTGATATCGAAGATTTCTCTAAGATTGAATGTTTTTGTAACTTTAAAGACATTTAGCAATAATCAGCGTCATCATTTTGTTAATTATAGGCTTATTAAAATATATATAAAACCTGAAGTGAAACCAAAATATGCTTCCTGTCCAGCAGTTAGTTGTGATTGGAGTGGTGATATAGCTTGGTGGTTAAAATGCTTGCTTGCAACCCTAGGGTCCTAGGTAGTTTCAATTCCTGTCAGTGTTACGGGATTTTTACGACTTAAAAATCAAATCCATTTCCCAAGCCTTATAATGACACTTTATCAATATACGTAACAGCTAGGCCTATACGTCATATCAAAATATAACATCCCTATCCTTGTCTGATATAAATATTTAGTAACATATTATTGTTACTATATTGCTACACAAAATTATCTCAGGACGAACACTTTTAAACAGTAGGCCTATAATATGTAACCTCTGCAGTGGTATTATGTGGATGTGTTTGTAATACATTTTGGTGGTAAGCTTTGCTGGTATATTTGAATTGTAATAAGTTTTCATAAAAAAAACACCTGCCTTTTCATTTAGCTCATCATACAACAAATGATCGTAAGGGGAAAGACACTGAAACCAATGGAGTAATTACAACAACACGTTTGTACACATTTTAAAGAGCGAGCTTACGGTTAAATTGTTCATATATTAACATTCTAACAAATAATTTCAGGCAGAATTATGATGTCACAAACATATGGATGCTCGGGTAGTATTTTTTATTTATTTATTTGTTCTTTTAAATTTAAAACATCTTTAGAAGGGTTAACATATACAGACGAGATCTTCACACGCTGTTTTACAATGGTCCTGCAAAAACGCTGTACAATAACAACAAACAATAAGGCAACCAGAACAAAACAATATAAAATAAAAATAGTAAAAACTTTGGTGGAAAACTATCCCCCGCCGGACACCAACCCGGTATTTCGGAGTCAAGGTTTCTAGGCCGGAATTACAAGGTAGGACAAGTACAATGACTAAAATAAAAATGGTTAAAATCTATACCCCGCCGAACAACATCCTGGTATTTCTTAGTCAAATTTTCGGGGCTGGGATTACAATTTTTAACTTAACTACAAACCTAACTAAACAATGGTAAAAACTATCCCCACCGGACACCATCGCGGTATTACAATTTTTTAAACTTAACTACAAAATTTAACTACACAATGGTAAAACCACCCCCTCCGGACACCATTAAGGTTTCGGGGCTGGAATTATATATCAAAAAAATGGGTAGTGATAATCAGAGAAAGTGTTTTATTATAAGTAATTTTGAATAAATTAACATTCTTGAATTCTGATTGGGATTTTGTTCCAAACTTTCGCTCCAGCGATTTTTTAAAGAACCATTCATTCAGTTTGAAATTTGGGGATAACGTTAAGAGCGTGGGCGTATCTCGCAGAATATCCATGTCGGTCAACAGCGATTTCAATATTATCACATAAGCGGGAAGGTGCAATACAATTTATACATTATTTTTTACGCATTATTAAGGTTTATGCAGGTCCTCTATTGATGAGTAATTACCATTTTAGCTTAACAACAGATGAAATTGTTTATTCATTTGTTATTCATATTCAGTTTAACTGTTGGTTTTTCCGAACTGTGAGACATTTTAGGGGCTGATTGGCAATAGCTGATTGAATGATGGTTAGGAGATGATTCGGAGAGCTAACTGGGGAGTGGATTTTGTGGGAAGGGTAATTAAGGTAGGTGTACTTGGAGGGAGAGTCTAATGTTACGGTGTTGCTAGCTGAGAAAATATGGGAATGCGAAGTGATATTTAACTTCTGTTTTTTGTTGATGAGAGGCGGCCACACAATATGTATTAAATTTATAAGTCATGAAATACTGGAACCTAGGGCTGAAAGGATTGACATAATTAATGTCGAAATATTGAATCGTGACACGATGGCGTGCATTTCGATACTTGGAGTACGGTATAAACTATCTTATCTAGGGCTGAAACATAACGTGATCCACTTCACAACCTGTCAACAGTGCAAGCTGGTGTAACTAAGCATGGCCGGCCGAGAATGGTCATCGTGTGGTTCGAACTCTCGACAACGAGTTTCACAACCTGAATGGAAATCGCTGCGTCAAACCGCCTTCCCCAATTAATTGAGTAATTTATTTGCCCACCAAATTTCCACTGGGTCGGGAGGGTGTGAGGCGCAAAATTTAATTTTAAGGAGAGGTTTATTACATTTTTTCCGTCGTAAACGAGTTAAGAACTAGTATACATAAACACTTAATATATACACGTTATGCGCAAGCGCAGTTTTAGTATCTTACTTTACTTTTGTGATTCAAATTACAGGAACCATCAGCCACTAATTCCGCAAACTCAAAATGGAGGTGGTCTACAAGGATTTGCTCTCTAGAATCAACATCCAAACAGTCGTCGCTGGATTTACAACTTTACTGATTCTTGTCTACTTTACAAAAGACCTACGCCGTAATCTGCCTCCCGGACCATGGGGCCTACCCGTGGTTGGAATTCTGCCTTTCGTTGGGAACCAACCACAAAAATCATTTATGAAGCTTGCTGAAAAGTACGGTTCTGTATTTTCGGCGTACCTTGGAACCAAACTTGTAGTGTTTGTCAACGATTACAAATCGATGAAGCAAATGTTTGCAAAATCGGGAGACACGTTCAATGATCGTCCAAAACTTATAGTCATTGATCAAATAAGTCATGGCAAAGGTAAGGCTAGGCATCCAATTTCTGGTTTGCATATCCTAGGTCTGATAGATGTAGAACTTTTTGAGATTGTAGCGTGCTATGCGTAGCTTGATTGAATTTTGGTTTACTCTAGAGCAATTTGTACGAGTTCACATTTAAACGAAAGGCAAATCATACTACGCGTAAAGTAGCATTGCTTATATCATGAACGCGTTTAAAGCCCTTTTAAGCATTCAAACAGAAAAAGTTTGGACGAAGAGTTTTATAAATATTTAGATAGGTCAATAGAATTATTCAGATATTAGGTACGGTATACACTTTTAAAACAATACAAAGCATTAGACAGTGCATCTACAAGAAGAACAATATAAAACTTTAAAAAAAAGAAGGCATGTTCAACATTATAGGTGTAATTTTGTCCTACCTCACGAAAGAAATCGCAAGTTGTTCTCGGGTGGGACTCCAGCCCACGATCTCCAGATCACTAGCCTGGCATCATATCTCTAGACTACCGAGCTTGCACCTGCTGGCCAGGGTTTCAATTCGAGTCCAGGTAAGCAGCGGGTACTGCAATGTTGAATATACACGCCCCCACTTATCTTACCATTTATCATAAAGCAAAAATTATAAAATGAAAAAAAAAAATATTATTTTGCAAAACAGGTATTGCATCTGGATACCTGCATCTCAACCTAAAGGAAAAAAGAAGATTTGGTATGAAAATGCTTCGTAGCTTCGGAATGGGAAAATCCAGTTTTGAAAGTACCATTGTTAACGAAATAGACTATATGAAGGCTAGGCTAATGCAGGTTGCAGACACGAAAGTGAGATATGATCCGAAGCATATCATTGAAAATGGCGTTTCAAACGTTACGTGCGGAATTGTATTTGGGAAAAGATATGAGTATGACGATCCTCAATTTAAAAGATTTCTGAGCATACTATATGCCAATCTGGAAATTGTATCTCAGTCTGGCGCTCTGAACTTCATACCATTTATGAGATTCATTCCTGGAAGCGGTTGGAACAAGGTTTTCAGAAATGTTGAAATGTTCGTAAACGAATTCATTAATTTTGAATTGGAAGAACATGCAAGAACCATCCAGGTCCACAAGCCACGTGATTTTATCGATGAGTTTCTGAAAGCTAGATCGGAGCTTGAAAGTAGTGGGGAAAATGTTGACGCCTTTGATGACGAGTCAGCAATACACATCGTTGCAGAACTTTTCATCGCTGGTACAGAAACGACTGCGACAACCTTAAAATGGACATTGCTGTACTTAGCTCTTAACCCCGAAATCCAGGCCAAGGTACACCAAGAATTGGATTCAGTAACTGGCAGGAGACAGCTTCCAACTTTGAAAGATCAACCGAAGCTTGTGTACTGTGAGGCTGTAATGATGGAAGTCACACGAATCCGACCTGCAGTTCCTCTAGGTAAATTGTTATCAATTTGCTTACATGATTTAAAGAACTCAGCACTAACTTGATCTAAATATATTAATATTAGTCACAAATGATTAGATTTAATGTGTAACAACAGTAATAATATTAACAACAATGTACATTATAATGGAATGAACTTGTATAGCGCCTTACACAATTGAAAATCACAGGAGTGGCACATTGTACAGTGAATGACACGATGTATAAGGAGCACTTCATACCAAAAAGTACTACTGTGATTCCAAACATTTGGGCAGTGATGCATGATAAAATGACCTGGCCGAAACCAGAAGAATTTAGACCAGAAAGATTCATTGATGGCAATGGTAAACTGATCAAATACGAAGAATTGATTCCGTTTTCGGTCGGTAAGTACAGTATTGCTTACTGTAGGAAAATAAATTATCTTCCGTTCTTCCTTAACGTCAAAGCCAGTGCGCCACCACCATTGTGACAGCTATCATTATCAATAAGATCAATAACTTTTAAATATTTGGTTTTTGTTTTTTTTAATATCGCAGGCCGCCGTTCTTGTATAGGAGAGCAA